ACACTCTGTGGTGACACACAGAAGTCCGATTTAGGTGACAACTGTCCTGAACCCAAATACACAGATTGAAAAAAATTATCCACCTTGTCAAACTCCTTCTCCTGATCAAGGGATAGGAAGGCAGTTTATAGACCACTCTTCTGGGAAAGATGGATCAGGTTATAGACCAGATGGATGTTATCACAAATAGCTTGTCGCAGGGCCACATAGAACTGGTTAGAATGGACCATGTGCTCCAGCACTGTGCCAAGGCTGAAGACATTACCTAGCAAAGATTTTGAACTCCATGCTGAGGAGGGAGACTGTGTGCCAGTTTAACAAAGTGGAGATCACCTTTTTGGCTACAGAGTTATAACCATCCTGCCCTAGGAAAGAGGCATCTTCCCAGCCATTAAGCATTCCTCCAGGACCAACATGCAAGTCTTTCCCCATCACACCCTGTGAAACTCCCCATTCGACCTCAGGGATTTACCCCTGGAGAACAGGTCCAGGATGCCTGCAAGCTTTAATTGGGAGCATCTGGAATGCTAGTGCTCCTCCAGCTGACTTGTGACAGGTTCTCCCATGGAACTCAGCAAGCATCCTTGTTGGACAGATGGAGAGAACAGAGTAATGTAAGAGGTTAGGGTTTGAGCCTTGATGCTGTCTGGATCAGAGATAAGGGATCTGTCATCAACAAGCAGCTGAAGGACCCCATACATTTCTGCTCCACCCCACTGCGAGTGGAAAGAAGGGGAGCCATGATCTGAAACCTGCAGGTATCTGACCAATGACCCTACATACGCACCTCTGGATACAAGCATTAACACTCTCTCAATATACCCTTCACCATTTCATACGCCTCCAGCAGGACTTGGATTTTCTGGATCGTCAACCCCTTTGCACACTGCTGAGAAAGGGCACATGAATCTTGCTGACATCCCACAAGGAGGTTTAATCTCTCAGCTTCCTTGCTCAGAAATGAATGCTGGAAAACCATCCTCAAAGCTGAGTACACAGCAGAACTTCCACCCATAACAGACTGTGGTCCAAGCACAGAACCTGCGGCAAGAAAACCAGAGTGCAGGAAATGTACACCTTAGAAATACAAACAGTCAATTCTGAACACTGACTCCAGGCCTCCAGAAGGTAAAAGCGATGTCAGATGTCCACTGAGTCAAAAGGACTAAATCAAGTTTGACAACTTTCCCAACAATGCTAAGGGGAGCTGCCTACTGCCATAGTCACTTGCTTCAGAAGTACGATTGACATCCTCAGTGAGGAAGATGCACTTATCCTCAATGGAGTTCAATAGAGTGGACAACTCTTCAAAAAGCAGCTTGCTTCCCTATGCCCAGCATTCAAAGCAAAGTGCCATTTCAGTCTCGCAACCTCATCCATGCCCACGCCCAAGCAGACAGTGAGCTAGAGCAAACAGCTTAACACAGGCTCCTTGAACTCCAAAGATGTTAGCTGAAAATGTAGAATCATCAAATAACCATCCTATCAGAAGACCAGGACACCAGGAGCAATGTAACTTTGCCCGCAGAATGGTCTGGGTTTCCTGCAGGAAGCAAACCACATGCTTCCCTTCCTTAAGGAAGGAGAAGTTTCTAAAGCTGCACATGCAATTCTGCTGCTTCTGATATGGAGGCTGGCTATGATAGTGGCACCATATTGTTGACATGAAGACTAACACACAATGTGCAGGGAAAGCTGACAAGAATATTTTTAAGGAAGATACTGAGCAATCCAAAATATAAATGCCAAAAGGCATGACCAGCAATGATATAAAAACAAGAGTCTAGCATTGTGGAACACAATTCTTGTGTTGGAGTAGGATGCATGCATCAGAATGGGTGAGGCCATACAGAGACTCGAATATGAGGATCAGAATTTTATATAATTTGTTGACGGATATGAAGTCAATGGAAATTAGCAAGCATGTGGAAAATGGTATGAATTTGAACATAGCAAACACAGTTTAGGATAAGCTCAAATTAATGGAGGCTGAAAGATGAGAGACTGGCCAAGAGCAATGCAACACAAGACTACAGGTAACAAAATGTGAATGAGATTATATTACAAGTCTCATTAACTGTTAGCAGCCAGTGAATAACAATCAATGGTTTTGAGTTTGTGTATACAGATGTCTGCTTCCCGCCACTCAATGTAATTAAGAGTGTAGCATGCCTGTATGTTTACATCAAAATTAACTAGTACTGTTCTTAGGTGCAGTGTGCAATCAGATCAATTATTGCAACTCTTAACTATTGCTTAAGAGCCTAGTGGATTCATGCCAGTACAAGACAAAACTGCACAATACCATGCAAATTAAAAGATGTTTGTAGAAACATTTTTAAAAGACTGGGGCAGTTCAAATGTAAGTTATGAAGCATAAAGTGTCTGTATTGTAATATCTGGGAAAACCGTTATACAAAATATCCTCTTAGGAGTTATCATTCCACAGCAGTTAATGCGTACCAATGATCCTGTTGGACTCTATGAACTTCTGATGGAATTAAGACATGACCATACTTATCATAGAATCATAGAATTTCTACAGTGTGGAAACAGGCCATTCAGCCCAACAAGTTCACACCACCCTTCCAAAGAGCATCCTACCCTGATTCATTCCTTTACCCCTGCATTTCCCCATTTCTAACCCACCTAATCTAAACATCCCTAGACACTACAGACAATTTAACATAGCCAATCCCCCTGCCCTGCACATCTTTGGACTGTGGGAGGAAACTGGAGCACCCGGAGGAAACTCACGCAGACATGGGGATAACGTGCAAACTCCACACAGATAGTTGCCCAAGGGTGAAATTGAACCTGGGTCCCTGGCGCTGTGAGGCAGCAGTGCTAACCACTGAGCCACCGTGCCGCCCACGGTGAATTTTGTTTGAGAGGCACAACATAAGCTAAAATTATATGTTTAGCTATCCCTAGATAGTCTCCTTCCTACCATTATTACAGCCAGAGGGTTGTTAATCTATGGCACTCATTGCCTCCACAGCCCTCTGTGGCAGTCATTGAACATATTTGAGATAGATAGGTTTCTGGTTAACAAGGGGATCAAGGGTTACAGGGAGAATGGGTTGAGAAACATACAAGCCATGATCAAATGGTGGAGCAGAGTCCATGGGCTGACTGGCCTAATCCTGTTCCAAGGTTTGGCCATTTGGCCCACTAAGGCTCCTTCATCATTTGCTCATGGACCACTTCTGAACTCAGTATCTCTCTCTCCCTTAGCCTCGTTTCTAACTGTATAGCCAGGGATTAGTGCTGAGAAAAATAAAACTTCATAGAAATTTCAGTTCAAAGTAGGAACTTATATAGTCATGTCACTGCTCGCTCAACCTTGAAATTATCAATTGTGTTACTATTACTCATGTCTTTTTCCAAAAAAGTTTTAAAAACCATGACTGTTTAAACTTCATAAGCAGTTAAAGTAATACATTCCATACTCTGATAACCCTTTGTATTAAAAAGTATTTGTCTCATCTCTTCGATTCTATTATTAATCCTAACCATTTAATCAATTTACTAATAGCAATAATATTTTACTATTTCTGTCAAACTCTTTCAACATTATAATCATTCTATTACATCTTCCTTGACATTCTTTATGCAACAAACATAAATGCACCTTTGTAATTCGCTCATCGTGACTAAACCATCTGAAATCATCCTGGCATCATAATGGTGAGCAAATCCAAATATGCAACTTATCTGCAGCCGCAAATATCCTTTCCGTAATCGGGTATCCAAGCTATATAGGAACCTCTATCTACGATAATGTAAAACACTAACTACTTACATGCAACTGATACTAGGAATTGAAAATATTGCTTTAAATATCTTCATTCAATTGTTTTTAATTACGTTAAATTCCTGTTGTATGGAGGATGGAACCGACGTGAATCCTGTAAAGGGAGCAGCAAGGAAATGTAGCTCTAGTCATTTCAGCTTTTGATGTTCTTGGGCTTGAAGGCAGTTCTAAAATATGTGTTGAACCTGACAAAGTACACCAGCAGGTTGCCTGGCATGTACCACGAAAAAAGGTGAGCCATTGGCTCCGTACGGTCTCCATAGCGTTGTGGCATTCAATAGTTTGTGAAAACGTCTAAAAACTTTATATTTTTGAGCCGGAGTTTTTAAAGTCTTAAACCACTCATAATGAGATGGCCAAGTAGCTCGACTGTACAAAACAGCATCATATATAAAGAATTCTATAAAAAATTAAATTATTTTACACAGTACAACACTTCAATCACCAAACTTACTCGAAGACAATAAGAATTACCCCACTTTTCTCCAAGATAACCTTAAAAGCAATACAACAGTGGATACATAAGAAGGTTACACATATTTTTGCTATAGTGTAACAAATCTAAAGGACCGGGAATCGAATCTGAAAATAACGCTTCTTTGTTTTCTTCGTCTGTGTAAAGCAAAACAGATCTCCACGCACATTCAACGCTGAGCAACACTATCTCAAAATGCTAAAGGCATAGAATTAAACCTGCTTTTAATGAAATCATTCGAATTGATCGCCTGGACTGACACTTGTAAAATATTCCCAAATAACCAAGCGGAGGAAAATGGTTCAGTTTGTATTGCTTGCATTTATAACAAAGTGAACCAAGGAAACTCTTCAGATACGCAATACCGTAATAATGGCTCAGGTCACAAATTCACGAAACAAACATTTCAGCAGGTTTCTCCCTGCTGACTGTCCGATGTTCATTCTGGCACTAGAGATTACACTAGCACAAGGCTCAATGTCTTAAAACAATGAAGAATAATGCTGACAACAATACGCGTCTATTGAAATGCAGAAACGGAAAATGCAGTATGTCAGTTAAGTCCCAGCTGTCAATGAAGTGAAAACTCTGTCGACTGTGCATCGCTCATTTTTAACCTGCACCAGGAACCGTACACGGGGTGCTGCTCCTCAACTGTTATCCGCGCAAAGACCGCGTAAATAAATCGGAATTTGAACATAAACTCACGGTTGATCCATCAAGCGCTGTCTTTCAAAGAATCGGGCAGACCGGTAGTTGGCCTCGGTTGCACACTGGAGATGGGAGGGGAATCAAAACATGAAACAACGCTGAAGCCCTAGCGAGACTGCTGCTCTAATTGTCCGGCTGGGCAGCTCGCGCTGTCCTGGAGTGTCCAGCTGAGGCTCGAGCCTCTATTGTCCGGCTGGATGGCTCGCGCTCCCCCACCCACCCCCAGCAGCGTCCAGACCCCGCAGGCGCTCGCGCTCCCCCGCCAGTGTCCGGGTCGCGCTACAGAGAAAAGGGGCTCAGCTCCCTCCTCAAGTAAAGGCAGCCGCGAGGGAGAAAGGTCAAGTCCGGGACAATGCGACACATGCAGCTTTGTCCTGCCACCCGATGTAAGTATTTACAGTCTCACGGCTATCCTGGCTAGCTCCGGCACGTTTCTCCCTCTCCCTCTGACAGCTCCATCTGGCTTTCGCGAACCGCATGTATTTGAAAGAAGCGCAAGTGCGCTGTCAGTAACATGCGCAAAAGCCTTGAAAAGGGATGTGTGGTTTGCAATTAACTAGTGCCAGAGTACCCCCACAACGCTTATTACGTCAGTCATTGCCTCCCTCCTGCTATGTTTTTGGCAGGTCCGAGGTCTATTTTTATATTAGATAGAAGGAATATGGGTTGAAATCTAAAGTTCGTCATGATGTAACATAATTGTTATACTAGCATCGCTTATTAACAGAAGGACAATCATGCGATAACATTGAAATTGACGTTGATGAAGTACGAGAAACAAATAATTATTAGACTGCCAATGTCGCCGTTTGTAGTTTTTCCAACAAGAGTGACATGTGTGAGAAAGCGTCAGGAATAGCTAAGATGGTCAACGATATGTATTCTTTGCACATTTGTAACTTTATTCTTCTTCTGAATCCCATGCTAAAGTAGAAACACGTTAGGTCACTAAAATTCAGAAAGCTGTTGGCATGACTGAATTCCTTTAATAAAGTATTCCCTAAGTGTTTAACAAATCGAGTAACTAATTTTTGACAAGTTACTTCTTTGTCCTATAACGTGTAGCAGGTGTCATGTTGAAATATATAAGTTTATGTACTAACATTTCCTCTTGGAAAAATACGTAATAAGACGATTTCCATAAAGATATTAGTCCATTTGGAAGAACTTGCATTCATCTAGCATCATTCACAACCTGAAGATGTCCAATTGCATTTCACAGTCAATGGATTTACTTTAAAGAGTAGTCTTTGTTTTTGTAAAGTTGTAGCTACTGGAGTGTCACAGGGATCTATGTTAATTGCTTCCATGAAGGATAGAGAGTAAATTGACACGAGGACATAAAATGTCTGCACAGGAATTTAGATGAGTAAAGTGGGCGGGCAAAATTTTGGCAGATGGCGTATAATTTGGGAAAACGTGAACCTGTCCATTTTGACAGGAAGAACAGAATTTCCCAATCAACTGCAGTTAGATCACCCCTCATACTTCCATAATTATCAATGTTCAAATTTAAGTGAACTTCATTAATCTTAAACTTAAAATAAAATTCTGATATATGACAACTGTTCAAGGATCCTTTACTAAAAGATTACTAATTAGTTCTGTCTCACCTGCAATTTTAAATAATGGCTACCAAGAGAAAAAAAACAAAGATAAATATGCACTTCTTTGACAACTTATGTATCTAATTCTTATTATTCTGTAAAATACTTGGTCTATCATTGTTTCAAAAATAAAAATAACATTATTTTTCTGAAATAGGAAAATATGTAGGTTATGTTAGTTGATGTAATGCTGAAGTCAAGGATGCAATAACAAAATTTCAAAATACATAATATAATCAAGCAGAGTTAGTAGGACTTCACGAAGAGGAAATCATGTCTCACAAATTTATCAGAATTCTTTGATGAGGTAACAAGCAGGATTGATACAGGGAAGCCAGTGGATTTAATATATTTGGAGTTCCAAAAGGCATTTGATAGGGTACTCTGCATTAGGCTACTTAACAACACAAGAACTCATGGTGCTGCAGGTAGTATGACAGTGTGGATAGAGGATTAGCTATCTAGTCAAAGACAGAGAGTTGGAATAAGGGTGCATTTTCAGGATGGCAAACTGTAGCTAGTGGAGTGCTATGGAAATCAGTACTGGGGCCATAACTGTTTGCAATATATATTAATGACTTGGATAAGAGGGGTGAATGGACTATTGCCAAATTTGTGGAGGACACAAAAGTAGGTCAGAAGGCAAGTGATGAAACTGGCACAAAAGAGTCCACAGAGGGATATATAGACAGACTAAGTCTAGAAGCAAAAATAAAATGGCAAATTGGCTATAATGTAGGAAATTGTGAGGCTTTGCACTTTGGCTGGAAGAGAGGAACTGAATATTATTTAAACAGAGAAAAATCTTCAGAAAACTGCAGCACTGAAGGATTCAGGGGTCATCGTGCATAAATTACAAAAGCTAGCATACATGTTCAGCAGGTAAAAGGAACATAAATGGAATATTAGCCTTTATTTCAAAGGGAATGAAGTATAAAAATAGGGAAGTCTTGATAAAATGATACAAAGCACTAGTTAGACCACACTGAGAATACTGTAAACAGTTTTGGTCCCCTTTTCTAAGGAAAGAAATACTGGCATTGGAGGCAGTCCAACAAAGGTTCACAAGGTTGATCTCAGGTATGGATGAATTTTCTTATGAGGAGAAGTTGAATAGGTTGAATCTGTACTCATTGGAGTTTAGAAGAATGACCTTATCGAAACATGTATGATCCTTAGACAGCTTGGCAAAGTAGATGCTGAGAAGTTGTTTCCCCTTATGGGAGAGTCCAGGACCAAAGGGCACAATCTCAAGACTAAGGGGTCACCCAGTTAGGACAGAGATGAGGAGGAATTTCTTTTCTTAGAGGGTAATGAATCTGTGGAACTCTTTACCACAGAGGGCTGTCCAGGTTGGATCATTAAGTATGTTCAAGGCTGACATAGACTGATATTTAATCAGTGAGGGAATCAAGAATTATGGGACTAAGTCGGGAAAATTGAATTGAGAATGATCAGGTCTGCCATGTTCTCATTGAATGCCAGAGGAGACCCCAAGGGCAGAATGGTCTTCTTCTGCTACTACATATTTGGTTTAAAGGGAGAAGTCTGCTCTTTGGAATTGTTATGTAATTTTGAACACTGTGAAATTAACTAATGTACGACTTATTTCTTGTTTTCTGATAAAATGAATAATCAGACATTCTGGGACCATTTTTAATGAATTGAGATCTGAGCTTTCTTTCTCTGTTGGAAAATAATCTCTATCAATTTCACTCACATTTCACAAAAAAAACCAACAAGACATTAGGAATCCAACGTTTTATGTAAGGCTTTCCATAAGTGTATAAAACACTTTGAAACTGTTGCGTACCATTTAAATATGGCAACAGTGAAATGATTGCTATTTCAAATGATTCTGCACTAGCTCAGCAGGATGGACAGTCATGTTGGTAAGTACGAAAGCTGTAGGGAAGGGTGGTGCTCTAAACTGAAACTAAAATGCTGTTTTTCAAGCCATGGTTGTTTTTCCTGAGCCCCAAAAAATCTAGAATCTTTTGTCTGAAAGCATTATTGCAATACATTGTTTACTTTGTTTGCTGGTAATCTCTCCCAATGTAAGCAGGAACCAACTCTCCAGGAAACCTTTCTCTCACAGACAAAAATTCAGCAGGTCTGGCAGCATCTATGGAGAGAAAGCAGAGTTAATATTTCAGGTCCAGTAACTCTTCTTCAGAACTGATGGTAGCTAGTAAAAGGTTGGTATTTATACAGAAGATGGGGTGGGAAGATGAGGGAGGAGTAAACAGTAGGTGGAGATAGAGCCCAAAGAGAAAGAAAAACAGTTAGGCAGACAAAGGACTGGGTAAAGGTCAGCCTGGGAGAATGAATAGCTGCTAAATGGGGACTATTAGTAGCTGACAAGGGGTTGTGTGGGGTAGCAGTCCATGTGATGACAAAGCCTTTTTCTCACACAGTGTTTTGAAAGAAATCACCATAGCTACAAAAATACTTGCAAGTTATTCATCAAACCCATTCAGACACACAGAAAACCCATAAACCACTGTTTCAAATTCAAAATTCCAAAAACAAATTATATTAAAATATATATAAATCATACAACTTACAACACAGTAGTTTGCCCTCATAACTTACCCATTATGCCTCAGAATGATTTTGGTAAATCTGCACAGCACTCCTTCCAGGAAACGTAAACTGAAACTGAGATAAATATTCACCAGATCAGTCAGCAGCTATGGGGAGTAAAACAAGATTAACATTTTAGACCTGTCACCTTTTGTCACTTTTTTTTGTCAAAAAGTAACAAATGTGTATCAGATTTTACATAAGCACAGAATTTGGAAACAGGGAAGGGAAAATTGGAAGCTCAGGATCATGGAAAATATTTACCCAATCTAAACCCCAATTTATAGGATACCACCTTGTGAGCAGTTAATATAGTATATTAACTTGGACCATTTAAGTCCAATTAAATCATTTTAATCTTCATCTGAAGGAACATTGTGTCCTTGGACCTAGCAAGGGAAGATAAAAGGTCAGGCTTTGCATCTCTTGCATTTTTATTCGAAGGTACTGTGTAAAGCAGGATAGATACTGGGGTGATTGATGTGGACCATGGTGTTATAGAAGGAATAGTCTCTTCAGGATGCTGAAATGGGAAGGGAGGCGAAAGGAAGATGCTCGGAATATCGGTGGATATTCCATTGAATTTAGAGACTGGTGTGATAAAAAGCAAAAGTCACTCTTCATGGTTTTGAAAAGAAGGCATGGAGTTAGGGCAGAAGAATGGGAAATGGATCAGAATTGGCTCATGGCCCTGTGAACTACAGTGGAGAGAATTCCTGATTGAAAACATATAGAAGTGGAGAAGGTAGCATTGTCAGAAAAATGTGGCAAAAAAGAGAAACTGGGAGAATAGAGATCTTGCAGGAAGCAGACTACAAGGAAATGTAATCAAATAGCTCTGGGCTTACAGTAGGTAATAGTTGACATGCTTAAAAGTTGAGATAACTAAGGCAAGAGAGGGAAGAATCTGAAATTGCTCTTGTAAAGACAAAGGGGAAGTTGAAAGTTGAAGCAAGGAAAATGAAAGTTTACTGTACAAATGAGAGCATCTAATGGCACTGATGCAGTGATTAATGTACTGACAAAAGAAGTGAGGGAGAAGACCTCAGATGTTACCTGAGACTTGATGCCTAAACCTAAACGCAGTACTCCAGGTAGAATCTGGGCAAATTAAGCCCTTCCTTTTGTACAGGTAATTCTCCTATAATGCGGTAACTGTGTTGTTGTGTGACCTCGCACCATAGAAAATCATGCTATAGAAAATTGCCATGCCTGTAGAGCAGAAAGTTTGCCTTATCCAAACAGCGTCTACTATTCATCAATCACATTGCAGCCAATTTGCATTAATGAAACACACGTTATAGCAGAACTACCTTGCATTTCAACCC